GATGGCGCCGCCGCCGCCGCCGCCACCGCCGCCGCCGCCGCCGCCGCCGCCGACGACGACGACGACGACGACGACGACGACGACGGCGGCGGCGCCGGCGCCGGCGCCGGCGGCGGCGGCGGCGGCGACGGCGGCGGCGGCGGCGGCGTCGGCGGCGACGACGACGACGACGACGACGGCGACGGGCTCGTTTGAGCCTCGTCCCAGCTCGTTCTACCCTTCCCCAGGCTCGTTTTACGCTCCCCTGGCTATTTTTACCCTCCTTCAGTCTCGTTTTACCTTCCTCCAGGCTCGTTTTAACCCCTTTTCCCAGGCTCGTCTTACCCCCTTTCCAGCTCGTTTGACCTTCCTCCAGGCTCGGTTTACTTTCCTCCAGGCTCGTGTTACCCTCTTCCAGGTTCGCGTTGCCCTCACCCCAAGCGCGCTTTATCTTCCAGGTTCGTTCTACCCTCTTCCAGGTTCGTTTTACCTGCTCGTTTTATCTTCCTCCAGGCTTGTTTCACTTTCCTCCAGGCTCGTGTTACCCTCCTCCAGGTTCGTGTTACCCTCGCCCCAAGCGCGCTTTATTTTCCAGATTCGTTCTACCCTCCTCCAGGCTCGTTTTACCTTCCTCCAGGCTCGTGTTACCTCCCTCCATGCTCGTTTTACCCTGCTACGGGCTCGTTTGACCCTCCCCTAGGCTCGGTGCACCCTCCTCCCGGCTAGTTTTACCCTCCTCCAGGCTCTTCTCCTGGCTCGTTTTACCGTCCTCCAGTCGCGTCACACCCTCCTCCAGACGAGCAGTACCTACCCCCAAGCTTGATTTACCCTCCTCCAGGCTCGTTTTACTTTTCTCGCGTTCGATTTAGCCTCCTGGGTTCGTTTCAGCCTCCTCGTCTCGTTTTAGCGTCCTCCCAGCTCCTTCTACCCTTTTCCAGGCTCGCTTTACTTTCATCCAGTCTCGTTTTACCTTCCTCCAGGCTCGTTACACCCTTTTCCAGGCTTGCCTTACCCTTTTCCAGGCTCGCCTCACCCTCCTCAGCACTCCTCCCCCCTCCTCCGGATTCCTCCCTCCATCTCACTCCTCGGCGCCCCCCCCCCACTCCTCCGGATTCCTCCCCACTCCATCGCACTTTTCCTCATTCCTCCCCATTCCATCGACCCCTTGACAGTCGCCCGCACTCTTCTGGAGGCTTCCCCACGCCATCGCACTTTTCGGCACGGCGCTCCTCATCAGCATGCAGCGTGACAGGGAGGGGAATACTTGACGCTTCGCGTATCCCCGCCAGCTGACCCGGACGCCGCTTCCGCTCCCTGTCCTTTGCCTCGGAGCCGCCGACCAAAAAAACGTATCCCCGCCAGCCCATGATGGACCTACGCGTATCACCTATCCCCGCAGCGTCCTTATCACCCGGAGGCTCTTCCTGTAGGTGGAGTTGCCCGCTTTCGAGCTACAGCGGGCGTTGAGGCGTGAGACTAGGACAAAATTAAACTATGTAGCGTGCTGCGTGCAATGACGACATTCCCGTTGTTCTACAGCTGGTCCTGCTGCTGCTGTTTGTTTTGCTGTTGGTGTTGCTGTTGGCGCTTTTGCTCTTGGTGGTGCTGCTGGTGCTGGTGCTGCTCCTGGTACTGCTGGTGTTTCTGGTGCTGCTGCTGCTGCTGATGGTGTTGCTGCTGGTGCTGATGGTGTTGCTGTTGCGGGTGCTGCTGTTGGTGTTGCTGCTGCTGCTGGTGTCGGTGCTGGTGGTGCTGTTGCGATGACGTGGAAAGCTGTTTCGCCAAGGCTCCAAGAACTCACAGTGACGTGGCAAGCTCTTATCACCAAGGCTCACAAAAGTGAACGGTGCGATAAGCCGTCTCGGGCAAGTGTCTTACAACTGTCCTTACGTTCCCGTGCCGGCATGTTCAGACAGAGGAGGAGGAAGGAGGAGGAGGAGGAGGAGGAGGAGGAGGAGGAGGAGGAGGAACTGGCGATCAGAAAAGCCTCCTCGAAGGTCTCCTTCAATAGCTCCTCCCCATCGGAAACTTCCAAAATCGTTTCCTGGACCCCTTTTGGGGCGCTTTGGGGCGCTCTTGGGGCCATCTTGGGGCTCTCTGGGGCATCTCTTGGTCTCCTTTTGGGCCATCTTGGAGCCATATTGAGGCATCGAGTGGCCATCGGAAGCGAACAAGCGATAAAGCACAAATCACTGATTAGCTTTAGGTTGTTGCAGGATTCTGGCACACTGGATGACTCTTCGGAGGTGTCGGAGGCCTCTTGGAGCCGTCTTGGAGCGTTCTTGGGGCTTCTTGGATCATATTGAGAGCCTTCTTGAGGCATCTTGCGCTATCTTGAGCCATATTGGAGGTCATTTTGGCCTCTCCGAGGCGCTCTTGGAGCCGTCTTGGGCAAATTTGGACGCTCCAGCCCCTCGCGGGGCGCCCCGTCCAGGTCCAGGGGAGGGGAAGAAGGGGGGTGGATGAGGAAACTCTACGAAACTTTCTAAACCACCTACGCCCAGAGGGCTGGTGGGATTCTCAACGCTTCGCGTGTCCCCGACAAAATTACCTCGCTTTGTGGCCCAGACGTTATTCCCGTTCCCTGGATCTGTCCTTCGAGCCGCCGAACAAAAAAATATCCCCGACAGCCCATCCAGAAACAACGCCCAGCCCAGTTGAGGTGATCAGGGAAGTGTCGGGGCGTCTTGGGTGCCTCTGGGGGGCTTTGGGGGGCCTCTTGGGGGCCGCTCGGGGGCCTCTTGGGGGCCTCTTGGTGGCCTCTTGGGGCCTCTTCGGCGCCTCTTGGGGCCATATTGGGGCTCTCTTGGGGCCCTCTTCGAGGATATCGATCAAAGAGGGGGGGGCTTCAATTAACCTCGCCCTTCTTGAGCCCCCTTCAAGTCGCCTCCTGGGGCCTTCTTGGGGCGCTCTTGCGCGCTCTTGGGGCCATCTTGGGCCAAAAAGGAGGCTTGATTGCTCGCGACTGGCCCCCTCCAGGTCCAGGGGATGGGGCCTCCCCGGAGGGGAAGAAGGGGGTTGGAAGAAGGGAATATGTGCGATCTAAACCACTCAAGCCCTAAAGGGCTGGTGGGATTCGGACTGCTGCGGTTTCCAGTTCCTGGACCTGCTTGCGGGAAGTTGAGTGAACCGTATCACTTAGAGGAAGGAGAAGTCGTAACAAGGTTTCCGTAAGTGAACCCGCGGAAGGATCATTCGCACGCGTCCATTTGACTCGTTTCGAATAACATATTGTCATTGTTGTCAGTGTTTGTTTGGACTTCAGTGTGCTTTCATTACATCAGATTGTCTTACAACTTGCAGCGGCGGCCTTGCACTTGCTATTTGGAATACGTTTTTCGTTCGGCGGTCGTCTCAAACATTTGAATGTTGATTTCCTTGCAAGCTCTTGGAATAGCATCGATGTCAGTTATTACCAAATCTGTGACCACAAATAAGACATCCCAGGATGAGCACTCCACGCACGAACTTGGACTGAGCGTTCGGCATAATTTGACCATCGTGGTGTTGATGTGCATAATCTGCTCCCGATAGCCGCTGGGGCCCCCTAGTCTTCGGGCAGCGGCCGGACGCCTGTGCGCAGTTTCGTGATTTTCAACTCGTTCCACGCTATCGTATTGGAGTGCCACGGTGGAGTTGATCCGATAGTCCACGGTTGGCGCATGCGTTGCGGTGGAAGTGCTAAGCCATACCGTTCGCGTGTTTTCAGGCAGCCGCGGAAAACAAGACAACAATTCGATGAGGGGCGCCGTTCGTGCATTTCCGTTCGTCTTAGGGCCCGTCGCAGGCCCTCCGGGGAGATGAGGAGGAGGATGAGGAGGAGGATGACGATGACGCTGATGAGGAGGGGGATGATAAGGGGGAGGGGGAGGGGAAGAGGGGATGCTGCTGGCGCTGCTGCTGGTGACGCTGCTTGTGTTGCTGCTGGTTTTGTTGGTGGTGCTGCTGGTGTCGCTGCTGCTGTCGCTGCTGCTGCTGCTGGCGTTGCTGCTGGCGCCGTTGCTGACCCCAGCCAGAAGCGATGCCCATGAGAGAAGTGACCGGACAACGGAGGAAGAAACGCACATTGTGAAACAGCGCCGGCAACAGCTTGGTGCTGGTGCTGTTGTTGGTGCTGGTGCTGCTGGTGCTGCTGCTACCTGCTGTTGCTATCTGCTGTTGCTGATGGTGATGCTGCTGGCGCTACTGCTGAAGGGGCTACTGCTGGTGCAGTTGCAAGTGCTGCTGTTTCTGCTGCTGTTGGTGGTGTTGCTGCTGGTGATTTCTTGGGGTCCCTGACGGCGTTGTTGCTGATAGTGCTGCTGCTGGCGTTGCTGCTGCTGGTGCCGCTGCTGGCGGTGATGCTGCTGGTGCTGATGTTGGCGCTGGTACTGCTGCTGCTGGTCATGCTGGCGGTCGTGCTGCTGCTGGTGCTGCTGCTGCTTTTGTTGGTGCTGCTGCTGGTCCTGCCGCAGCTGCTGCTGGCGTTGCTGCTGCTGGGGTTGCTGCCTCTGCTGCCGGTGCTGCCGCTGGTGTTGCTGTTGCTGGGGCTCCCGCCGCTGACGTTGCTGGTGTTGCTGCTGCTGGTGAGGGGCCCTTGGAGATCCCGCTGCTACTGCTGCTGCTGGTGCTGCTGCTGATGGTGCTGGCGTTGCTGCTGCCGCTGTTGCTGATGGGCCCGACTGGGTCTCTCTCGGGACCAATTGGGAGGTGTCGGGGTCCTCTTGGGGCTCTTTTGGTAGGTTTGGGGGCCCTTTTCCGTCCCGTGTCGGCCTTTTCCAGCGCGCCTCTGGCCCGCAAGGCCGGCGACGTTGGCACGCGTGGCCCATGTTCCTTCCCATGGGCCCTTTGGGGGGGTCTTTCGGGGGCCCTGGAGGCCCTCTTGGGGCCAGCTTTCCCCTTCCCTCCCTCCTCCCTCCCCCCTCATCTTTATTTTCTCTATAGCCATTTTGGCTGCGCAGGAGGCTCTGCGGCCGCGGCCTCCCTGGAAGGCCGGGCCGCGCGTCCGGCCACCAGGTTCAGGAACATGTCTGGTTGCCCAGATGGAGCAGCTTCGAGCAGCTCGAACAGTTCTCTCTTTGAGAGCAGCAGGAGGGAGGAGGGGGGCGAGGCCAGCCTCGCGCCCCTGGCGGCGCCAAAAAGTGAGGCGGCTGCGTCGCCAGAGGTCGCTCCAGCCGCGACGCGGCCAGCAGTGCCAAAGCAGTGCGTTGTGGAGAAGCGCGGCTTTGGCACGTCTGCCACGGTGTGGGGCGCATCGCGGGGAGGCTGGGCCTGCGCTTGCCACGGGCGCGGCCACTTCTTACTTTGGCACGAAGCTCGAAGCCGTTGATGCCGCGCAGGAGCCTCGAAAGCTCTCGGGCTTCGGTATCATCCGATGCCCGGGCGCGCCCCTCCTCCGTCTGAGAAGACAGTCCGAGCGGATTCACTTAGGGGCAGCGTTGCCGTCAAAGCTGAGAAGAAGGAAGAAAGGGAAGAGGCGGCAGCTGCCAGGGGTGGGGCGAGCCGCCGGGTGGAGCAGCAACCGCCAGGCGGAGCTGCAACGGCAGAGCCACGGGCGCTCATCGGGAGCCCCTTGCGCCGCCGGAGAAGGTGCCCCACCCTCTCGTGGGCGAGCCGCGGAACGCGAAGGCCAGAGTGGCCGTCTTAAGTGCGCAGGTGCGCTCTCAGACCTCGGAGGCCGCCACGCAAGAGCACGCCGTCGACGAGCTCGACCAGAAGATCGCGCGGCAGCGGGAAGCGCCGAGGGCGGCTCGGGAGAGCCACCGGAGGGGGCAGGCTTCGAAGCAGCAGTTGCAGGAGCAGAAGGAGCGCGAGAAAGGCGCGGCCCTCGCATTGCGCGGGGGGCTGGTAGCCGCGGAGGCTCGGGTCGCGAAGGGAGGGGGGGGGGGAGCATTGGCAAGGCAGAGAAGACCGCAGTCCAAGCGCAGCAAACGATCGCCGCCGCTGGCGCGGCGCAGCAGGCGCTGGCCAAGGACGTGGAGAGGGCCGGGCACCAGCGCAGGCGCCAGGACATCAGGTTGCAGGAGCAGGGGCAGCCTGGAACAAATCGACAAAACGCGCGCCCCCCCCCCCCCCCCCACCCCCCCCTAAACCGCGCAATCCCCCCCGAGACCCCATGCAAGAAATACTGTCTCGTCTCGACCCTAGCCCCTCCCCCCCCCCCCCATCGCCCCGCAGCGCAAAATGCGGCGGTCGTCTCCAGGAGAACGACCTTGCCGAGGCGAACGAGAGGATGGCCGAGATGTTGGGCGAGAAGGTCCTCTACGCGACGCGGCTCGCAGAGGCCGCGGCCCGGGTCCATGAGCTGGAGTCGCAGGTGCCTGCTGCGGCCCCGATTGTGCCGCGAGATGCCCCCGTCCTTCCGCCGGCGCCCGCCGACGCCGCTGGCGCCGACGTCGCCAGCATCGTCGACTCGTTGCTGCAGGAGGAGGGCCCCGCCGGCGAGGGCGCCGGCGAGGGAGATGGAGTGGGCCCCCCGGGTGAGGGCGGCGACGAGGAGGAGGGCCCCGTGGCCGAGGGCGGCGACGAGGGCGTCGACGAGGAGGGCCCCGTGGGCGAGGGCGACGAGGACGACGACGGCTCGAGCGCGATGCAGAAGAAGAGGGTCCGCAAAGACAAGGCGCGGGGCGATCTGGCGAGGGGGGACATCAAGGGTAAGTTCATCAAATACGTCGATGATGCACCGAAGGAGTGGTCCATCCAGTGCGCGCCGTGCGACAAGTGGCATAAAATGAAGCCTCGGGACCCAGCCCTGCACATCGTGCACGTGGAGCGCCATTGCAGGGGCCGCAGGAAAGTCGAGCCCGGGCAGCTTGGGCTGGCAAAGATGGCTGGATGGGTCCGCGCGATGCGCCCGAGGGTTGACGAGGGGCTTGCCGTTGCCACGTTCCCGCCGGCGCCGCAGGGGCAGGTGGGCGTGCCCCGGTGCAGCGGCGTCGCGCCCTGGGCGTTGCTGGACGCGTTCAAAATGGACTCCGACTGGCAGGGCGAGTTCGACGCCGCATGCGGCAGGATCGGGTCGCACCCCAAAGTCGAGCTCTGGAAGCTGCTCATTGACACGTACTACCACTACTGCAAGGATGGCATTGCTGCGAAGCTCGTTCAGGACGGCGGCATCCATTGCCTACAGTGCTCCGCTGGGTGCGCTGAAGGCCGTCCGAGTCGGCGCCCGCTCGCGTCTCGCGCGCTCTCGGATGGCGAGTTTTTCTCCCGGACGTGCCTGGTGCCGCGCGCGGCTGCCTGCAGGAAGTGCATGGCGCTGGAGACGGTGGGTAAGACCAAAGTCAGCCGGGCGCTGGCGACCGTCATTCACGCGCGCATCATCTTGGACTTCGCCACCGCGCGGAAACCAACCACCTGAAAAAGGCTGAGGGCCATCGAGCACATGCACCCGAAGAACGTGCCTGGACTTCACGAAGCCCCCCTCCTGCGAATCAGGGCGCAGGCCGACGCGCGCCAGAAGTTCATCGAATTCAAGAGTGAAGACGGCGGCCTGGTAGGTCTCAGCGTCACCCGGCCCGACCTGGACATGCTGAAGAACGCCATGATCGCGATATTATCGAACCAGGGGCAGATTCGGTCGAAGGCTGTAAAGGGCGCTTTTGTAGCATGCATATCTGCACCGGAAAGCGCGGGGGAAGGCCTTGGCGAACATGAGGTGCGAGGAGGCTTGGCGCGATCATGCCGCGGCGAAGCACTTGATGTCCAGAGCGGGGGTGAATTTCACGAGGGCCAACTTGGCCGAGGGCGCCATGCCCAACGAGTCTACTTGCCAGAAAGTGAGCGCATCCTTGATCAAACGCGTGAGCTACTTGGACTTACAGGAGGAGAACGCGCAGGCCACCGCGGACGACATCATGAAGGAGTTGGCTGGCCAGGGCATCACGGTGGCATCGCTCTGCGGCGACGAGGCGGCGCCCCTCGCGCTGCTCCGCTTCGGCGCCGCGCTCCAGAAGTGCATCGGGTGCCCGGGTCGCTTCGCCCTGGTTGAGAAGGACAAGACCAGCGGCTTCAAGCAGGACAGCTTGGCGAAGAAGGTGAAGTTCATGGCCGTCGTTGGCCGGGGCACCATTCCGCTGCACGCCCTGCTTATGCGCCCTGGCTTGGCCGATGCTGGACAAGAGCAGGAGTTGAACGACCTGGCGCTGAGATGCGCGCGCAGGGCTGCGGAGAAGCGCGACGTCGCGGTCATCGGCTGCGTCTTCGACGGCATCAGCAAGGAGACGCCGTGGGTCGTCGACAAGATCTCGGCCTATATAGCAGCGGCGCCCGAGGAGCGCTCCCGCATGAGCCTCGCGGGCCTCGACATCAAGCACCAGGTGAAACGCGGCCGGAACGCGTGCGCATGCGGCGCCACGCCGAGCCCATCCGGTGGCTGGGTCGATGTAAACATCAATTTGTTCGGCATGGTCGGCGTCCGGTGGGATTGCGTGAAGGTCAAGGATCGGGTCGGGCGAGCGGCGGGGATAGGGAAAGGGGGTGCGAAGTCTGCTCCATGCAGCTGGTGCCAGCCCCGCCGCCGGGCGCGTTCCTCGATGCATGGCCGCCTCCACGAGCCACGAGGTGGCGGCAAAACCAGCCACGCACGCTGTTTCACTACCCCCCTTTGCTATCCCCCACTACTGTCCGGCTCGAAAGGACCCATTTGCAGATTCCCGCGTGGAGTTACTGCACCGCGGTTTGGCCGATTTCCCGTCGTTGCTGAAGACCGGGAGGCCTTGCCATGATATCGCGGGGACCCAGCTGTATTTCTCTTGCATGCTGTTCGCACAAGTGGCCGCGGTGAGTAAAACTCCTGGGTTGAGTCGGCCAGCGCGGGCCTTCTGTTTCCATTTGGCCGCGTTCGTGCTGGATTCGTATGAGATGAGCAGCACCACCAAGGTGAACAACTTGTTGGCCTACGTACATATATATTTACACACACACTCAACATGCTTTATTGTTTTATGTGTTACTGTTTTCAGTTGTCTGGCAAGTGTTTTGGAGCAGTGCCGTCGCTACTTTTTAAGTGGTTGGGATGTTGCGAATTGCTTTTCGCTGTTTTGTTGCCGGAGTTGGTTTGTGTGGGTTGGTTCGCGTCGCCGTTTTTTCGTATCAGTGGGTAAGTAAATGTTTTT